ATGAGTTGAAACGGCCTCATATCCCCTCAAAGCTCCTTGGCAGAGTTGAAGCGGCCTCATATCCTTTAAGATATTCCTTGGCACGAGTTGAAACGACTTTAACTATATTGTCGAGACTTCATTGCACTACATACTTTCGAGTGGTATATGCTATCAAGTGGTATACAAGCAAGTCTCGAGGGGCATTTGTTGACACTGAAAATTTGATAAATATGATTATTTTTTAATATTAGTATATTTGAATACATTTTGGATAATATTGATATTATCTAATTTGTTTAATTAGATAAATATCAAATGAGCTTAAAGGCTTGAACATATCCAAACTCTTCCTATCATTAATCTCCCTACAACTATAAATAGGAGCTATCTCATGAAGATCATCAAAATATCTTAAGCTTTGAAGCTTATTCAGAGATCACAATACGATCCTGAAAATAAAAGTCCCTCCATGAAAATCATATCATACATATTGATCCAAATCTCTATTGAAGATCAAGTCATTTGAATCTTGAGGCCCTTCAAGTCATTTGAATCTGGAGACCCGAGAACAAATATATATATATATATATATATATATATATATATATATATATATATATATATATATATATATATATATATATATATATATATATATATATATAAAAGCTGTCACTTGAGTTTCGGATGCCCCTCAATGGAGTGTTCTAGGCATCCAAGTGAAAAATCAGAAGACTTTATAGAGATCTTATACCCATATCGTATTGATACTACTTGTAACCAAAATTTTGAATTCAATATATATAATTCAAATTTTGGGTTCACAGTACCAAAAGGCCTTTCTAGTAAAATCGTGATTTACAATAAAAATATTTGAAGGTAGAGTTAATTCCCAAAATGGTCCTCTGACTATGGCATTTTCTCAAATTGGTCCCTTGACTTTTAATTTCCCCAAAGTGGTCTCTGACTTTTGACTTTTAAGTCAAAATGGTCATCCGTTAGCTTTGACGTTACCTTTGTGTTAAAATGAAGGGTAAAACTGGAAATTTAGATTCTGCGCTCCAATTTAAAGTAATCTGTGATTCCTTTTAGCAATCTGCGTAGGTTTTTGCTTTCCTAAATCTGCAATCAAAATGTGGGATAATCAACTAAAAGGCCAAAAAAAGTTCATCTTCAACTTCATCCACAAACTTCCCAAGGCAAAGATTTCTGGTCTTCCAGTTGATTATCCCATATTTGATAGCAAATTTAGGAGAACAAAAACTTAATTTGAAGAAATATGTGCGCAGATTGCTAAAAGGAATCACATATTGCTTTAAATTGGAGTGCCAAACCTAAATTTTCAGTTTTGCCCTTCATTTTAACACCAACTTAACACCAAAGCTAACGGATAACCATTTTGACTTAAAAGTCAAAAGCCAGAGGACTACTTTGAAGAAATTAAAAATAAAGGGCCAAATTTGAAAAAAATGTCATAGTCCCGAAGACCATTTTGAGAATTAACTCTTTGAACGTATCATATCATGAGAATAATTGACAAAAGTGAATTTGTGTAACTATTGTTTCTATGAATATAGTATCATTTTTTTTTTTTTTGGGTCATCAAGTTGTTGGTGTTGTTATTTACTTCGAAATTTTTGTCACTTTTGCCAAATTTGTTGCAAACATTTTTTTTTTTTTAACATGTGACATTAAAGTTACTTTTGTCCTTATATATAATGTTATTGACTCTATTACAATGTAGTATCTGTTTATACATATTTTTTCAATTTCTTATTTGAAGGGCCACAACTATGCCATTCGACCACTAGGCCTTTGACGTCCTTTAATTTAATATTATTCATTTAGAATTTTATTCACTTAAGGTGCATCGAGTATATAGATAATTTGGACTTTGAATGATCTAATTATTAAGATGTGTATTGTTGAAATTCATCATGGAAGAGAAACTCTTAAAAGACTAATCTTTATAATTAGAACCATCACCAGAATATGATCACTTGTTTTCTTTCAAGTTTGGAAAATTGTTCAGTTCTAAACTTTCTCGAGATAAGGTTTTGGATGTATGTTAATTTTCTTATCTTATTTTTCAATTTAATCAAGTCAAATAACATCCCTCTTAGGTTCAATTTAAAAGTCAAATAACATCCCTCTTAGTTCAATTTAATCAAGTCAAGTAATTGTATTAAATTTATTTCTCTTTGAATATAACCTTAAACTTTTCGCAACTATAAGTGGTGTTGGGTCTTTGTTCAAAGTTGCTCGAGTCATGAGCTAAAGTGCTTCATAGCACTTTTAGTTCTCTTTTGTCTTTCTCCTTAGTTATGTGCAAAAAGTGTATGAAGAATATAATTTAGATATCGATGAATTTCTTAAAGAAGAAAGAAAATACTTAAAAGGCCGGTTTAAAGTGCATTGCAAGATATCACAAGACATTACTTATGCAAAAGGCATGCTTGTTTAAAAAAAAAATAATAATAATAAATAAATAAATAAATAAATAAATATGGATTAATATTATATTTTCCCCATTGTGATTTTAGAATAGCCAATTCACAAACTAGCCTCAACTAGTGCTTGTCAGGACCGGTGCGCGCAAGAGATATATATGTCCACTTTGGACATAATCCCCACACGGCCGCTGTCGAGGTTTGAACTTTAGTCTCTTTATTCCAAATACTGTCTACTGAACCAGTGAATTAAGCCCGTGCGGACCACTTTAAAACTCTTCTTTATTGATTATTGAAAAAAAAAAACTTTTGCTAGCATCCTTAAAAAAAAAACAAAAACAAAAACAAAAAACAAAAAACAAAAAAAAAAAAAGAAAGAAATTATCACTCATTCACTCCCCATGTTAAGGTCTTGGAGGCCTTTGATTACATATCTAGTTGAATTACCCTATTTGCACCATATTTTTTACTTTTAGCTATATAAAAATGAAATAGATCAAGTAATTAATTTTAGATCTTTTCCTCGTTAGACGACATTGCACATTGAGAAAATGCTCTTGCAATGAGAAATTAACCTTAAAAAGTTTAAGTAAATGTATCGACCTTAACAAGTTTAAGTAAATGTATCGACACGATAATTTTAACAAGTTATTAATGAGTTAAAATGTAAAGAGATAAACCTTAGTTATTTTTGCATCTAGTTCTATAATGTGTTAATACATCAGGTTAAAAAAAATGTCAAATCTAACAAAAATGAACAAAAGTAGTACTTGTAAAAATAAAATAAAATAAAATAATCAATGATCAATTGCCAAAGGCTTTGTGGTGCTGTGACCCCTCAAATGAGAGGTCTCTTTATGCTTAAGTAGGTAGATAAAATATGTATAAACAGATACTACATTCTAATAAAGTCAATAATATTCAAAAAAAATTAAAAATATATATATATTTCTTAGAATGTCAGTTCTTAAAACATCGTAACATTCGAGTTTGACATATACTTGGTGGTTGATCGAAGTAGTGATTTATCATCCAAACATGCTGGCATGCATGTTCAATCGTTAATTGAGGGATTAATAAAAGAAAGGTTGACTTTGACTTGGTCGTTGAAATAGCATGTTCAATCCTATATTAACGATTCTTTAATATTAATTAACTTTAATTTATGGAAAAACACATAACCGTGACAAGAAAGTGTGTTTTGAGTAAAATCAGTCTTGTAACTTTAATCGACAAAAGATATGTAAATTAGTCCATTGCTCATAGCTAATAGGTTTAAACTAAAAAAAGAAACCAATAAACAACTTCACAGAAAATAAAACGTAAGATTTTGTGATCATCAAGTTAACTGTGGAACCGATTTAACTGGGAGTCTTATATATTACTTAAATAATAATATGAGAAAATTTCAATTTTGGTCCTATGACTATAGGGGCCGGGCTTTGTTAATTTCAGCACCTGACTTTCAAAAGTGTCAATTTAGTACCTTGACTATGCAATTTTTATCAATTTTGGTCCCTCCGACCAAATTGTCGGCCAAATTTGGCCGGAAAATATTAAAAGGTTAAAATAATGAGGGTATTTTTGTAATTTTACCCCCACTTTCTTTTTTTCTTCCCGGAGAATCCGCCATTAAAATTTTGTTAAAATTTTCCGGCAGATAGTAATCTCAATTTGGAGTTTTGTCCGACAGCTGTGTTGGGAGATGGAATCCGCAAGGTGGGATTTGGACGCGGTGGCTAGTTCAATCCAGATTGATTCCGCTGCATTCTTGAAAGTAAAAAATCACCGATGTTTCGCGTTTGAATCGTATGTTTGTCAGGAGATGTTCGACGGTTTCAACCGCCCAAACTTCAACATCTCCGGCGAGCGAGGCGTTGCAAGATCCGGAGAAAAGCGAAGGTTACTGTCGGGCAGATTCACGGAAATGAACGGTGCGAAGGCGGCGAACTACCTGGCCCGGAAACCAAAATCGATATTTGCGAGGTTTTGCAGCAAGAATCGCTGGTTCATCCGGCCAACGAAGAATCGCTTTTCGACGGCGATTGTGATATCAGAAAATGGTGAAATCTAGGGAGTTCCCAGCGACGGGGTTCTTCTCTTGTTTCGCGAAAATGGCGAAACATGTGTGGTTCTCCGACGATTATGAGGATTCTCCGGGAAGAAGAAATAAAGTGGGGATAAAATGACAAAAATACCTTTATTATTTTAACCTTTTAATATTTTCCGGTCAAATTTGACCGGCAATTTGGCCGGAGTGACCAAAATTGATAAAAATTGCATAGTCAAGGTACTAAATTGACACTTTTGAAAGTCAGGTGCTGAAATTAACAAAGCCCCTATAGTTATAGGATCAAAATTGAAATTTTCTCTAATAATATAATGTTGCATGAACATATATAATATAATGCAACAACCTTTTTTGTTGACTTTAAATGCTTGCTTCACCACCACTACAAATTCCCCAACATGTATTAGTATATTGTTATGATGATATATTCTCAAAGGACTCCAATGCTATATATATTTGAATTAATTACTTCAAGCATTCAAGCTTGAATTGCTACCTTTCCTTTCTGCACATATTCATACACTAACTTGTTCTTTCTATTCTCATATATATAGCTATTATATATAATGTGTGCAAATTATGTTAACAGTGAAGTGGACGGAAAAGCCGCTTATGGCCAGCCGGCACCGGCCGTGGTCGGAGCTCCGGTGTTCAATACTGGAGTACCCAGTCAGTGGACCACCGGCTTATGTGGTTGCTGCGAAGACTCCTCAAATTGTAAGGCTCTTCATTAATTTTATGAATTCAGAACACTTTTTTTTTTTTTTTTTTTTTTTTCATTGACATTTTTCTCTTCATAAAATATAGAGTTAATACTCAAAATAGTCCCTCGACTATGTCGTAATTACCAATTTGGTCATCGACTATCATTCTTACCCAATTAAGTCCTCAACTATACAATTTTTACCCAATTTAGTCCTTTGTCGATTTGACTGTTTGTTGACTGTCAAAAGTGAAAATAAAGTTGTAATTTTACAAGTTTTCTCCTTCCTCCTCATTTAGCAGTGCCAAACCTTGTAGCAATAAGCTTCGGTTGGGTTCTAAACCTGTCAGTATCGAAGTAGTGGTTATGCATCGGATAGCCCATGAATTTGATTTTCAACGATTTTTGACGATCGAAATCTGATCGGAGTGTATTGCTGCATGGTTTGGCGCTGCTAAATGGAGAGGAAGAAGAAATCTTGTAAAATTATAATTTTATCCCGACTTTGACAGTCAACAAACAGTCAAATTAATACAGAGGACTAAATTGGGTAAGAATTGTATAGTTGAGGACTAAATTGGGTAAGAAGTGTATAGTTGAGGACTTAATTGAGTAAAAGTTACATAGTTGAGGACTTAATTGGGTAAAAATGGTAGTTGAAGACCAAATTGGTAATTATGGCATAGTCGAGGGACCATTTTGGATATTAACTCTAAAATATATCATTTCGATAATAATTAATTTTAACTAATTAAATAATTAATTGTTTATTTGTGGGTTTTGGTGCAGGCTGTGTGACTTGGTGATGCAAGTCATTTCGATAATAATTAATTTTAACTAATTAAATAATTAATTGTTTATTTGTGGGTTTTGGTGCAGGCTGTGTGACTTGGTGCTGCCCTTGCATCACCTTTGGCAGGAATGCTGAAATAATTGATAATGGGGTTACATGTAAGAAGCCTTCATCAACAGATAAATCCATGCAAACAAGCACTCATGTTATACTTAATTTCAATATTAATCGCTAAATAAGTCTTGTGTGAGATCGTCTCATGTGAGGTGTACGTATAATATTTTTTTAGTTAAAATATATAGAGTAAGAACATCGATACGATTTGATTCTTTGAGAATTTTTTCAGATCCAAACTAAAAACTGGTCGGGATGAGGCTTTTTAAACTATTGGGGCCTGGGGTGATTTCTTTTCAAAATTTTTCTCATGTAAAATTTTTGCATGACCCATATATTGAATGGGGAAAAAAAGTAGAATAGGTTTTTGCAACAATATTTTTATAAAGTTTATGTTTTATTTTTCGCCCATATCCAACAATATTTATGGATATACTTCTAAATGTTTCATTATTATTTTTTTCAAACTATCTCTTTTGTTTGAATGTTTCGCGCCCACTGAAAAAAATTTCTAGCTCTGCTCATGCCAGTGTGCGATGGGCACACCTGCTGGGTGTGCAATTAAGGCTGACAGTTTAACTCAATTGATGAGGATGCTCTAATACTTTTTATATCTCCATAGAAAAGTATTACGATTTACAAAAAACGTATTACTATATATATGTGTGTGTGCATGCAGCTTGTGGTCATGGTGGGATTATATACTCTCTGCTGGCCTGTGTTGGGTGTGCATGTTACTATACATGCACTTACAGAACTAAACTCAGAGCTTTCTTCAACCTGCCTGAGGATCCATGTTCTGACTGTTTGGTTCATTGTTGCTGTCTCCCTTGCGCTCTATGCCAGGAACACCGAGAGCTCAAGAACCGTGGCGTTGACCCCACTCAAGGTTTTTTTTTTTTTTTTGAACACCAAAACTACATGCCTAAATAATATGAATCATCTATATATATGCAATCCTAATTAAGTTAATCGGTCAGACTATTGACCCGATAACCACATGCATATGCATCTTACTAGGGTTTAATTTTGTATAATGATACGCTCAAATGGAAAAGAATTATGAACGTTTTAGATGGGTATATCTAGGGCTGGGCACTTCGGGTTTCGGTTCGGTTTTTTTCGGTTTCAGTTTTTCGGTTTTAAAAAAATTAAACCATTCAGTTTAAAATAGAGTTCGGTTTCGGTTTGAAAAGTTCGGTTCGGTTTTGGTAGAAGTCCACTAAATAAACGTTTCCTTTTTTACTTGCCCGATTGTTCAGTTGGCTCACTTGGAGTGCCACTTGAAGTGTTTTGTTGATGATAATATAAAGAATCATCCATCTATAGTTAATATTTGAAAAATAAGAATTATTAAAATGTCAAATGTTGAGATGAACAAAATTGATATTTGAAAACTATAGAGATGAACAAAATTGATATTTTGTTTATTAATAATGTAAACAATTTTGATATAATTTATACTTTGTTTTTACAATAAATAAATAAAATATATATAATACTAACCAGTAACCGGTCACATATATTGGTGCGTGTGCGTGCCTATATATATATATATATATATATATATATATATATATATATATATATATATATATATATATATATATATATATACACACACATATATGATTTACTATTCTTAGAAATTTAATTAAAATATAATCAACAATTAAACTAATTATATAATGATTTTAATAAAATGATAATTAAAGAATAGGAAAAAGATATCATAGATAATTAGATATAGGTGTATGATAATAATGATAGAATAATGAAACTTTTAGAATTAAATAATAATGGTGTTATAACGTTATAAGGGTATTTTAGTCTAACAATAATGTAGTAGGGATAATTTTGTCTATTACAATTGAAGTTTACAACATTTAATAAAACTATATATACCTTTATTAACATACAAATGTAAATATTAACAGAAATGTACTTTTAGCTTAATGGGTAAAGCTCTTAACTTCAAATTTAGTAGTTAAGGGTTCAAACCTTTAAGTATATTGTATATATTTATTATATATATATAAAAAATAAAATAAAAAACCGATCGGTTCGGTTCGGTTAAAAACCCGAACCGATCGGGTTACCCAAATCGAGTACCGATCGGTACTTCAGTTTGGGACCGAATCGAACCGAAATGCCCAGCCCTAGGTATATCAAATATTATTATTATTATATGTTTGTGAGGGTAATTAATTTTATCTTTTGAATGCTTATTGTAATTCTAGTCCTTGATCCAACAAGCCCTAGAAATAATTCTTACGTCTATTATGCCAACGAACCAAACAATGGAATGCATATTCATTCTAGAATAAAATTCATATTCCTCTCTCAGAAGTCATTTCAAGAACCAAACATGACATGTCGTAAATGTTTAACCTATAATACGTGACTTTAGTTAATTACAAACATTAAATCGATATACTCACTAAAGGGGGTGTATCAATCATGACTTTTATAAAGTTTTAAAGACTTTTATGAACTTTAAAAGTTTGGGGGTATTCAATTCAAACTTTTAGAGAGTCTTTAAACTAAAAGTTAGGCGGTATTCAATCAAGATTTTTAAAGAGTCTTTAAAAGTCGTGTGGTATTCGATTAAGACTTTTAGAGAGTCTTTAAAAGTCACGTGGTATTCAAAAAGTTATGAACTTTTGTAGACTTTTTAATTTTAAGACTTTTGTAGACTTTTTCTTCTCAAATATAAATAGTTGAAATCCAACCATCAACCCCCGGATTTCAAAATTTTCTTTCTAACAACTTTGAATGTTTTCTCTCTCTATTTAAACTCCATTTTTTCTCCCAATTTAAACCTTATAAACCTATCTAAATTTAATTAAATTATTTTTTTCTTCATTATCATATATTTTCCTCATACTTAAACTCTACCAATTTTTTTCTCTCTCTCCTAAACTTTACAATTTTCCTCTAAAAATTCGAAAAATATTATTTTTTACTTCATTATTGGTTGTTTAGATTGATTTTTATTTTTTCTATGAATTTTTGATCCATAACTTTCTCTAATTCTCCCTAAATACATGAACAAAGCAAATTTTTCATCATCAAATTTTAGTATATGTTCTATAATATTCATATAAATACTTAAATATTTTGTTTTTTATTCTTTTTATGTTTATATTCCTAATATATATTTTTCCTTTTTTTTTTAACAAGTTACTACAAATAGTGAACTATTATTCACAAAAACAATTTAGGGTTGCAAACAATAACATTTTGTTGTTATTCGCAGTCTCAAATTGCTTTGTGAATTTCAATGACTTTTGTAGACTTTTTTAAAATAAAAAGTTGATAAAAGTGTATGAATGTTTTTTATATAGACTTTTATAGAGTCTTATAAAGTTTTAAAAAGTTTTGAACGACTCTATGAAAGTCAATCAAATTTTATTAAAATCTATCGTTTTAAAAGTCTTTAAAATTCTACAAGAGTCAGGATTAAATACACCCCCTAAGTATAAATAATTAAGTTTGGAGGACATGTTTCCATATCAAATAGGACATACTGATGTGTGGAGATCTAATAATGGTTTGTTTTAGGTGAAATAAAATTATGATATATATATTCCTATTATTTTTTTTTTTTTTTTTTTGTAACCCAGGTTTAATTTCTAGAATATTTGAGGTTGATTTTTATGTCTAATTAATTATGTTTATTTATGTAATGTTATTTTGGTTGGGGTGAAGGATGGATGGCGAATGCACAAAAATGGAAGCAAGTTACAATGGTGCCTCCACCTGTTGCACCTGCCATGGGTCGCTGAGTTCACCTTAATTTGGATTTTAATTTGATGGTTTTTAATTAAATTAATTACATTATTATTGTCTATTTCCTATGTATTTCAATTCATGCATGATTGGGATTGTTTATATGAATTCGAAATGTATGTTGTCTTATTGTTACTATATTGCTGTTGGAAGTTATCAGCGACGTGTTTTCTTGTAGTTATATGATGATATTTGTAACATTCAAATAATTCAATATAAATGATCATTCCTGAAATATATTTCTTTAATGAAACAATGGAATAGAATTTAATTATATTCTATTCATTTTCCTATAACATAACATTCGTATTCATTCAAAATTCGTTCCATGAATCAAACATATTGTTAGTTTTTTTTTTTTTTTTTTTTTTTTTTTTTTTAAAGATTAAAATTTAATGAATTAAATCGCGAATAAGATAGCTTATAAAGAAAGGATGAGCAGTATCAAACCACTCTCCACAACCTGCATCAGAACTAGCCTCCCTAGCAACCGTGTGTGATGCATAGTTCGCAGATCATTTAGCAAAACAGAATTTAACATCATCAATCATTGATGCCAATTCTTTAACATCATCAATTCCAAAAGTAGAATTAAACGAAGGACTAGAAAGAGAATAACAAACAGTTTGAGAGTCCATTTTCACATCTATACCACTCATTCCCATATCTTTCAACCAACTTAAAGCCTCTCTCAAAGAAATAGCTTCAACTTCGTTGATAGTGTAAGTCCCTTCAAGATGCATATTATTTGCTGCAAAAAATACTCCTTCATGATCTCGTAGGACCCAACCTAGCCCATAGAATTAGTTGATGCATCGAGCGACGCATTCTTGTTCAGCTTTAGTCTTCCGCCTTCTGGTCGTGTCCAGCGTTCGTTTCCCCCTGACGGGTGGCCTGCATGGATGTTATTGTTGACATGAGACCAATTATTCCAAAAGGTAAGTGCACGGTGGAGTAGTAATTCAGCATCAAAATTAACCCCTTTCCACACACAATCATTGCGACTTTGCCATAGTCCCCAACATGCCATTTTAAACTTTGCTAAGAGATCACCATTTAAACAAGTTATTAAGGCCAAAAACCAATCAATAACATTACCATATGCTACACCCATTGGCACGCCAATAAGGTTCCAAATTTCCGCAGCTTCAGTACACTGTGCAAACATGTGATAAGCACTCTCTCGAGCCCTCCTGCACATATGATAGGCCAAAGAACAATGAATATTTTTGGAATGAAGGGCATCCCTGGTTGGCAAAAAAGAAGAGGCCAACTGCCAGCAAAAGTGCTTGACTTTTGGCGGGACATCAATATTCCATAAGCGAGACCATGGTCGCACTTCAGATAACTCACCCTTCACCCGCTTATAGCATGTCTTGACAATATATTCACCTTTGCATCCCAGTACCAGTACCACGAGTCTCTCGGCTTTCTGATGGAGATAGGTATATTCAATATTAGCTTGGCATCTCGGACGTCAAAGGTATCCTGGATACGATTCACATCCCACCCCGTTCCTTGGGCATTAAACAGAGTGGCCACGGTGACTCAAAAACCTCCTCACACACTGGTGATGTTATCCATGGACCACTGTCTATTGGCAACCACGCATGTCTCCCAATAATTGTGTCCAGCCCATTCCCAATACTCCGCCTACAACCATCCCAGAGGACATCCTGAACCTCTATTAGGCCCCTCCAAATAAAAGACGGATTACTACCTGCAACTGCATCAAAATATGAACAGTTTGGGTAATACCAAGCTTTGTATACCTGTGCTACCAAAGATGAGGGGTTTGTAACTAATCTCCAAGCTTGTTTTCCCAGTAAAGCCAAATTCATCTCACGTAGAGATCGGAAGCCCATTCCCCCGGCTGCTTTTGGGGCTATTAAGCCAATCTAAGATCTCCATCTTAAGCCCCTGCCATTTCCCACTGTGCCAGTCCACCAGTACTCATTCATCAGGGTAGTGGCAAAAGGAAAACCATCATCGCATAGCTAGGCGTTGCTTGGATGACATTTTTCAATAGTATCTCACGCCTAGCTCTCGAAAGAAATTTAGCATTCCAACTTCTCACCTTTGCTAAAATTCTATCTTTCAGGCACTCGAGGATCTGTTTTTTCCTTCTTCCCACGAGAGATGGTAACCCTAAGTATTTGCCAGCCGTGTTGCCTTCGGTCACCCCAAGTGATTGAGTCACTGTGCTACGCACTGGAGGTGTAACATTAGTACTGAAGCATATCATAGACTTATCATAATTAATCCTCCGTCCCGAGGATCTCGAATAGGTGTCCAACACATACTTCATACAATGAGTTTCCTGGGCATTGGCACGTAGGAATAAGAAGCAGTCGTCCGCAAAGAGCAAGTGAGATATCGACAGTGCTCCCCGAGCCACGCGAATACCATGCAACCTTCCCAGATTCATATACTTCTCTATCATCACACTCAGACCCTCAACAATCAGCAAAAACAGATAAGGTGATAGGGGATCGCCCTGACACAACCCGCGTCCCAGTATAGTAGGACCAAGTTGACATTGCTCATACAAGATGTGGTATTTCACGGACCGAACTGTTTCCATGATAATGTTAACCCATCTTCGTTCGAACCCCAACTTAATCATTATAGCCTGGAGGAAGTCCCATTCAACACCGTCGTATGCTTTACTCATATCGACATTTAAAGCAATGACTCCTTCCTTCCCTTGGGTTTTTCGACGTAGGTAATGATGGACCTCATAGGCTAGCATTATGTTGTCCATAATGAGACGTCCTGGAACAAAAGCACTCTGGGCATGCGAGATAATTCCCTCCAGTAGTGGTTTTAACCTGTTTGCACAGACCTTTGCAGCAATTTTGTAAACCACGTTACATAACGCTATCGGCCGTAAGTCCTTCATGGATTCTAGGGTTGTTTTCTTTGGGATCAAGACAAAAAAAGTTTCATTAGCCTTTGTTGGGAAGGAAGTCGTATGGAGGAAATCCCTGCAAAATGAAGTTACTGCTTCCCCAACAATATCCCAATAATATTGGAAAAAGCCTGGACCTAGCCCATCCGATCCTCGCGACTTATCTGGATGCATCTGGAAAACTGCTTCCCTTACTTCCTCCATGCTCACCGGACGTAGAAGCAGTAAATTATCATGTGGACTAATCCTTGGCATAATTGCATCAATAATTTCGGCCATATCCCCTTGATCTGACTCAAACAAATTTTGGAAATAGCTTTGCATAATATGCCTAATTTCCTCCTCCGTTTCGAACCAGTTCCCATCATCATCGTTCAACTTAAAAATTTTATTCATTCTCTTTCTTGATTTTACAGAATTGTGGAAGAACTTGTTGTTTAAGTCACCGCCTTTGTACCAATGTTCCTTCGCCCTTTGCTTCCAAAAAAGGTGTTGTTGCTCAAGTAAGTGAAGGAGATTTTTTTTCAGTATTAGCATAATCAACCATACTGTCCTCATCTCGACATGAACGAAGAAGTTCTAACCTCCGTTTGTAGCTGTCAATCTGTCATTGGAAGTCTTTGTTGTAAGTCTTCCCCCAACGCCAAATATCCTTGCCACAACAATCAATTCGCATAAGAACATCTAACCCCATTGTTCATTCCCAACTTTGAGCAACTATCTCACGGCATTTATCCTCCCTTAACCACATATTATTAAAAGGAACCGCTTCCGTCGAAGGCCACTAACCGTAGCCACCGGTGTTAGCAGCAAGGGCAAGTAGTCGCTATACGGGCAAGCCAAAGACGTAGCTTTTGCACCCTCAAACATAGAGAGTCAATTATCCGAGACAAGAATCCTATCTAGTTTTTCCTCTATCATATTGCTTGTACCCCGTGACCGCTCCCAGGTGAATTGATTGCCATTAAAGGGGAAGTTTTGCAGCCCGCTATCAGCAACCGCATCACAGAAACCATTTAGCAACCATGGTGGATGAGGGGCTCGCCCATGTTTCTCAGACTGATACATGCGAATCGTTATAGTCACGCATAATTACCCACGGCATAGGACTTCGATTCGCAAAATGACGGAGCATCTGCCAAGCTTCCCTTCGATGTGATCTCTTGGGGTAGCCATAATATCCCGTGTAGCGCCAAACCTGACTACCCACATCCATGCTCAACGTAGTATCAATGTAATTGCTACAATAAGCAGTTATTTGGAGATTCACTGTATTAGACCACAACATTGCAAGGCCTCTATGCCCAACTGCATCAACTGTAAAGACACTGTCAAAACCCAAATGTACTCGCACATTCTCCATTCTGTGTTTGTCAACGAAGGCTTCTATTAAGAAAACCACTCTTGGCCGCTTAGCGCGAACTAGGTCCGCAAGTACTCGAATCGCCGTAGGGTTGCCAAGCCCTCGATAATTCCATGCTAATAGATTCATATTTCTTGGCGGGCTTGCGATGCAAGACCCGCCTTCTGGCCGTTTTTTGGGACTCCGTCATCAGTCTCCATATCATTCTGAGCAGTCTCCCTAGACGTACTGCCTGTGTCAACCCTCTTCCTCTTCGAGTAAGATGCCACATACACAGGTCCTGTCTCACTGTTTGCCGGAACATCACTCGCAAACATGTTAGGTGCCTTCCAGTCTTTACGCTCAACATCCAATTCAGGTGCTACCCATCGCTGTCTTGCTGTGGGGGTATTCCTACGTGACCCTGCACGAAGCCACAGCACATACGGTTTATCAGCCTTGGTATCAACCCCATGTGCAATTCTTGGGCAAACTCGATCACCATGCCCGATGATCCTACAGATGAAACAGAAAGTTGGAAGCCTTTCATATCTGAAGTCGACATAAGCACATGATCCATTGTCCTTTTTGAGCTTCATCTGCTTCTTTAAGGGCTTGGTTACATCGATAGCCACACAGACTCGATAGTAAGTCCTCATTGAACCCCCAAAATTCTTATCATCTGTATATGCTAAAGTAACCAAAAACGATCCGATTGCGGGGACAACTGCATCTGATCGGAGGCCAGCCGGCAAAGAGCGAATCTGCACCCAGAACTCGACATGATTCAAGGGAACAGTCTCCGGATCATCACCTGGTTTGACCTTCTG